CGCAAAAATGAGCCAAAAAGTGGTGCAAAAGGTGGTTCACTGAAACGTTGGCGAAAGAGAAAAGTGGTGCTAGTATGACGTCATGGCAAGGGGCGATACCCCCTCTCCCCTCCTTTTTGATGGGTTGACGTCATGGCAAGGGGAGATATCCCCTCCCCCTTTGTGGGCTGCCGTCATGGAAAGGGGCGATACCCCCTCTACCCTTCTCTTTGATGGGCTCACGTCATGGCAAGGGGCGATATTCCCTCCACCTCTGTGGGCCGCCGTCATGGAAAGGGGCGATAACCCCTCCTCCATAGGCATAACAATTGCACAAGGAACTTTTATAATATAGAGTGCCTTCTTTCCACTGTCCTAAGAAGTGTTTTCTGAACGCTGATTGGTTTATGAAACCCGTGTAACGAGCACTGACCAATCATAGTTTTGGTAATATTTTTTCAGCCAATCAGAATCAAATCCAATCAATCGCGCCTTGGCGTTTGCGATTTTTCCCGCGCTAAACGATGGCTACACATTTTTCTTCGTCACTTCCTCAGAAGCGTTCTCGTAGCGCCGATTGGTTTGTGAAACCCGTGTAACGTGTGCACTGATCAATCATAGTGAAGGTGATGTATTTGCAGCCAATCAAATTCAAGTCCAATCAATCGGTGCCCCTTGGCCTACGCGATTTTTCCCGCGCTTAAACGCCAGCTACATATTTTTCTTCGACACTTCTGATTGCTCTGTTACATTAGTTAGTATTTTTGTGATTGCACTATTTATTGAAAGAGGACCATATTAAGTGCTGCTGATACAAATGTCACTAAGCCACTCTAAAACAATAGACACTGTATTTCAGTATTAAAAAATATATTAAATGCTCTAACTGTCACTTTTTACTTTTGTAATTTGTAGCCAGTGTCAAAGCATGCTAGAAGGTGAACAGATCGAGCTCTTGGTTAATTTACATGAACCAAACTTCTGGAGCCAGGGATTTTTCCGTCCGCCCTTCGCCTCGGGAAGAAAAGTACGCCCGCCGATTCGAGAGGCACATGTAGCAAAACAGTTTCAATTAGCGGGAGCGAAGAGCAGCATTTTGTCCGGTTACTAACGACAAGTAAAATCCTTGCTAATTCAGTTTTCAAAATTCATTCCCGACGGATTTTATGCCATGGCAAAATTGTGTGTTGAGATACAGTTGCTGAACCTTTGTGAGCTATCGGAAATAACGAGAGGCGATGGCTTCGGTAATGTTCGACAATCTTCGGAAGCTATTGGAACGTCCTTGGTCATTGGTCAGAAACTTTCGGGAATTTTTCGGACAAGTTAGGTTTGGCTTGCATGACCCTCAGTCACTCTTGAAAGCGATAAGAATACAGTAGACATTTCCCAGAATATATAATACGTTTTGTTTTCGAGGAAAACGGAGGTGCATCAGTTTTCGATTAATATTACCACGTGCGAAAAACAATGAAGAAAAAAAAAAACGCAAAGTGACAGGATGACACCCTATGAAAAGAAATATTAAAATTCATGAAGGCTGATACGGTAAATCCTCTCTTTGTTTAGCGAACAAGCCTTCAGTTGATTTTTACTCGCTTTACGTGTTCGAGGCAAGGAGGTACGCAACATCATGAACAGACATCAGAAACTAAAAGCTCGCTGTGACAGTTTCAAGAGCATTGATGTAGGCAAATCCGGCAACCTGAAGCCGGAGGAGATTGAGAAGTTACCAGACGACAAACCGAGGAGCATGAAAGACTTATGGAATAAGAGGCAATTTATAGATTTTCTCGAGGTGTTTGAAGGTATGATACCAGCCGTTGCCTCTCAGAAATCGAAAAAAAAGAAAGGAAGAGAAAAAAAGAAATTCCCGCATGATGAGATTAATGCAACTCTGCCTTTTTTACCAGAACTTGGATATTCGTTTGATCGTAATGTACATTCAGCGATTTACGCGTGTTACAGGAAGCTGTTAGAGCTCTGCGGCGCCCGTGATGCTTTGCAACAGAGTCTTGCTCGTTCAGTCAACAGGTATGTGGACAATATTCTTTGCACAGAGAGAGAAAAGATGTGTCCAGGTCCAGATATAAAACAACTTTTAAAGTTTCTCTCAAAGAATTGCGAAGAACAAACCTTAAAGGTAGAAGAAGAACTGTGTCTCGAATTCCAGAAGCAAATTGATTTGTCTGATTCTCGATTTTTCGGACACACGTGCGTTTTACAACGGATTGCTCTTAACTTTCTGAAAAAGCTCTACATTTATCCCCTAAATAGTACGTTCCCCCGACTTCCTGGCGTTTACTTCATTTATCATGTCGGTAAAACCCAGCTTTATGAAGGAAGCCAGGTCTTTCCCTCCACACGTAAGCCGGTTTATGTGGGAATGTCAACAACGAACATTGCAGAACGCCTCGGAGACCATCGTCGAAAAATTGAGAATGCCAGTAAGCTAAAGCAATCAACCAAAAGTCAACAAACTGAAGGAGTGAAGTTGGAGCTGACTGATTTTGTGGTCCGGTTCATGATTGTGGATATAAAACACTACGCTCCATGTATCGAGAGCATGTTGATAGAGTATTTTAGCCCTGTATGGAACAGGGAGGCGATGGCATTCTCTTTTGGCACTGCTAATGACGATCAAAATTTGTGGCACCAATTCCACATTAGCAAGAATCCGGTAATCATAGAAAATGTCTTGCGTGATCTGAGAATCTAGGAGAATCTAACGATTTCATTCTGTTCTTGAGAACCGTGACGCAGTGATAAGATGGTATCGTTTTTCCTCTCGTGGTAGCTTGCGAGCAAGAAGGAGTAGAGGGAGTCGGGAGAGCTGCAAAGACAGCTTGCTAGCAAGCTATATATCCTCTTGGTGATATTTCCAGATGTGACCAAAAACTGAAAACCCGTTATACTTCATCACGTTAAATTTAAAACTATCTGAGTTATCTAACAATACATAACTGTCATAAATTTATCGCGGCCGCATAAAATTGGTGTTTGCGCACATCATATCTGATAAGTCAGTGAATTTGTGTTTCTTTCACCAGTAATTTAAAAACATAAAATTTTTCCACCTGTATTTTAATGGCATGCGAAAAAGTCAGTTTTTTGGTCTCGCTAATCTCTTACCCAGATCTACTCGTTCTTCGTTTACAAGAAAATTCGTTTTGATCACGTGCTGAGGTGTCTACGGTAAGACACGAGGAAACAAAGCAAAAGTAAAACGTACTCAATTATTTCCAGGGGCGATATTCCATTCTTCTAGCCGACTCCAGATAACAATTGTATTGCATGTATTCTATAAAGATGGTTCGTTAATATTTCACCCTGCGAGCAGTTGGTTCCTTCTACGTATAGAGAAACAACTGAACTGTTGAGGGGAGGCAAGGGTAATTTCGTGACGCCGTGATACGGTTTTTTTTTTTTTTTGTGCTCTGTGAATCGTGATTTGACAAAAAAACTGTTCCGTGAATCGTGATTGAAGTGTATTCCGTGACGCGTGACATGTACAAGTCCTTGGCTGTGAATCGTGAATAGATAAGAAATAAATTGTGAATGTCTAAAGTTGAGTTCGTAGTGTAACAACTCGCAGTGGAAGAGCTGTCCAAGTCCGATATTTCTCTTAACAGGTCTCTTAAAGTAAAACCAGCAAATTAAGATTTCAAATATCACCTTTCCAACAGCTGTAAATTATTGGTAAAGTTAAAGAATCCACTTTTTTGTACAAATTTTGATTATAGCTTCGTGCACATGTTCGAGAATCGTGAAAAGGGAATTTTTTGTTTCGGGATTCGTGAGATCGAAAATTTACTATCGTGACTTCGTGACAAGATCCCCCTTGCCCCCCCTCACTGTTCGCAAGGAACCGAATCTTGGCGGTTTAGGCAGCAAAATTTAGAGAATTCAAACAATAATAATAAAAAAAGGCCCGTCATACAGTTGGCGTTAATCCATGCAACACTGTACACTGCAACCGCGTCTTATGACCATCACCTTACTGAGTTGTATTGCGTTTTTACGGTATTTTTTTCTTTGTTCCGAAGCCAACACGCAATCGGTCTCCTAAAGAAAATGCGACGACAATTTTATGCAAAAAGCTAGGTAGTCGTATTAACGGGGTTCCACTGGATATGATTCTGCAATATTTCGTCAAGCACGGTCAGATTTCTTTTTAATTGTTATTTCTTTTTATTTCTTTTTAATTGTTAGACTTTTTGAAAAAGATTCGGCAAACTGATTTTCATGTTTAATACACTTTGATTATATTTTATCGCTTTTAGCGCATTTTTTTTTAAAGTGATTTTTAAATTAGCTTGATGTAAATACCTTTTTTTTTTAAGCTTTTATAATGTTGTACATTACTTAATTTAAATCGTGGAGCACCTGGAAACTAGCGAACAGCTAAGTGTGTACTTGTCCACGTTAAATAAAGTATGTCTATGTCATGTCTATGTCTTCGGGCCATTTTCACATCATGGTGGGTAGGAGGGCTGGGGAATTAAAGTGCTCTGCATCAGCAAGTGTAATTGTTCAAATAACAGCGTTATCAGCCGTCCTTTCTTAAGTGTTAAATGGTGACTGGTAGTATCAGTTTTTTATTATATAAACATCAATGAAATACCAGGTGCTCTTTCGCGCGAAAACATCATATCTTCACACGTGAAAATCGTTTTTCTAATTACACCGAGGTATGTTCATAGTTATGTATGATTCGTGTTAACTGTAGAAATAATTTAGGCATACTTGCAGGTATGATGAATCCATAGGGGCTATTAGGCTATTTAAGATTTTGTAAGTTATGGAAGAGCCACTCGAAGGCATCTCTTTCAACTTTGCTGTAATTTTCTGTTTATTCGCTGCTGCATTTTCTGGATGATGCAACACTCGCTCTATCCTAAACAAGATGCCCGCTCCTGATGTTGTGTTTGTATTTATTAAGATTAGTTACAAGATATGTTATAATCGTTTCAGCGGGGAGATAAGAGCATAAGACAAGTTGTCTTCACATGTGAAAAGATCACCGTTGCCTTGATCATCTAGTAAATCGCGCAGTTTCGCAGAGAAAGTCAGATTGATTGGTATTTCATTGCTGTTTATCCCGGCCTGATCGATGGATGAAGCTGATAATCAATAACAATCGATTGATATCCGAAATCGATGACCAATTAATGAACAAAAATTTTGTCTTTTTCGATTGTCAACGATTGTCATCGATTGCCATCGATTATTAACGGTTATTTTCCGGTTATTTCTGCAGAAGGCAAGAGGTCGCCAGACACCTGAGACACGTTATCCTTAGCTGCAAGTGGAACGCAAAGATCGATTACAAATCGGCGGGACATCGAACAAAAGTAAATAAAAAATCGATGGCAATCGATAGCAATTAGAGAACTCGAGCTTGTGATTATCGATTTGGCGATAACAATCGATAGAAATGAACTAATTGTCATTGATTGATGTTGATTGATCGAGTGGATTTCCGATCGTCGATTGTCATCGATTGATCAGGCCGGGTGTTTATACATAGAGCATTACAAGGCCGCTTGAAGATACCAAATTTCTCTTCTCGTGTTGAAAAATATATCAACATTCGAGCAGAAATTTCCTATCTCCGAGCGGCCATGTAATATCCTCAATTTAATGCAATTACTTCAAGAATAATTTTAGAAATAATTCTCAGTTGACACGTTTTAATGAAGTAAAAAACAAAGAATTTTTAAAGACTACTTCTTCGAATAAGTACAACAATCATATGTGCTAACTTTGTAAGGTGTTTAATCCATCATGTACCAATGTGGCACAAATATTCCTTGCCTCTAGTGATAGTCTTGATGAAGTCTTCTCTTCTAGATTTACTCGTTGTGATCAGGCGTTCTTTTTACCACAATGGCGGGAGAAAAGAACACGTGATCACAGGTTGTGTATCTGAGGGATTTCTTAGCTTTGGAGATCAAATGCCATTTATTGCTCTTTGGAGCCCTGCAGAATTGCGGTAGGGCTTGAGAACCCAATCCTTTTTCTATCTTGGACGCTTTAATTTTAAGGCCAGAGCCAAAAATCTCTTCAAGCCCTGAAACTCACGAATATTTAGAGCAAAGAACTACTCACGTAGAAGGAAACTCGAGGCAAAATAAAATTCTTTAGAACATTAAATACACCTTATTTAACGACAAATAAGTACAATAACCAGTCTCTAGTTTTATAAACAACTCTTTTCCTTTCATAGTGCAACGCCATATACCGTTGCGACTGGATAAGGTTTTGATCGGTCTTTGACAGCTTTGTAATGGCTTTCCCATTGTTCCACCAATCAGAAACGAAGTTAATCTGACACGCGACAAAGACATGGTCGCCACGTGATCTTCACATGCAGGTGAACTTGTAGGCTCGTTCGATTGGCCGAGAAATTTGGAAAACTAACAAAGTTTCAAGAAAAAGACAATCAAAACCTCCAGCAAACGCAAAGGCGCTATAAACATTCCACTGAATATATATAATTAAATAATTACTAAAAGTTCTCTTTTAACTGTCCTTCAGAATATGCAATGCTATTTGGATTTATAATATCTTTAAGTAAGTAAAACAACATACAGATTACCAGTTCTCTATTTCCACAACAAAAATAAATAAATGTTGCGTTAAACAATACAATGTTCACGCTAAAGGTAACATACTAAAATTGGTTTGTACATAAACGATCATCGCTGAGATTGACTCACTTTAGATTTCAAACGCTGTTATTTCACCTCAAGTGAAAACTAATTCTAAACTTTTTGAAAACGTCAGACTTCATTTGAGCTAGTTTAACAACACACGTTTAGGTGGTGTGAACAGAATGTGACAAGTGAAAACCAGTCCAGGTAGATCAGCCTAATCATGATAATTAGGTTCCATTTATTATGATAATTTAATTGTTGCGTTAATTATGCTAGGGTACTCGATTTACTCAACTCATCAATACGCTAGTTTGGACACTCAGTAAATCAAACGCAAACTATTTAACGGAAACTTCTTTCACTTGGGGTTAATGTCTGGTAAGTTTATAAGCACTTACGCCAGTGCAAAAGTTGTGCTTTCTGGTTTTCTGTCACTAAAACATGTTTAGCTGGAAGAACAAATGTCCACTGTTTTTTTTAATCCAGCTGCACTCTACACAAAAATTAATGTCACTTGGAAGTGTCATGTTACGGACTTTGTTAGTCTCCGCGGTGAACTCTGCAAGATCCGAAAGTTAAATACAGTGTCCGAAAAATAAAAAATTCAAACTTTCCTTGATTTGCGGGGTGAAAAAGAACTATTCTGTCATGTCCCCACAGCAGATCATCAAAATGACTGAGTCAAAACTACTTTGGACAAATGGGCTTTATAACAACAGGAAGAGTCATTCTGAACGAACCCATGAAGCTTGAAGTCTCGACTCGAGGTTTTTTTTTTAATGGTCCAAATAATCCTTTGACCTCTAAACAACATCTCTGAGCCAGGGATGTTCTATACACTGTACAGCGGTTGCCCTTTTATCGGTGTTAAAGTCTAACATTGGGAGCAGGAACGCTGAAAACTCCATGGCGTCTTTCTCAGGCCATTCGTACTTCTCACGTAGGACATCGTACAATCCCCTTGAGCAAACAGAAAATAAGATCAGCAATTACTTTGACAGCTAGAGCGGTTACTTTCACGTTAGAGCGGTTTTCAATTGAGTGTCGAAAGCAATCAGGCAATTACTTTGGTTTCGATTTTACTGCAGATTGAGCTTGGCTGAGTAGTCTAATTGCTAATTAATTGGTTTGGATTGGGTTTTACGACAATTGATTGAAAACCTTTCTATTCCGCCAAGTAATTAGAAGTGTTCATATCATATCACACAAGAATTCACAATAATACGTCTGTCACGGTACTTACCAGGGTCGTAACTTCGAAATGTGCTTGAGTTCCCCTGTTATAATAGAGCGCAAATAATCAGTTACCTTTTTAAACAATAACAAAAGAAAACACCTTCAGCATGGTAAGGTACTTGTCCTAACATGTGTCGTAGATTTGGGGTCTGAGGGGGGGAGGGGATTGGAGGTCATAGGGCTGAAGATTTTCTCCCCACACTCCACCCCTTTTATTGTAGAAAGACGACACCCAACTTGACTTTGCCTTCCCCTCCCCCCTGTCCTTTCTCTTTTTATTGACTAGGAGTGCATCAGCTTCTGCCAGCAAAGAATACTGCGAAAACAGATGTGGTGCATCACGTCTGGTGTAGAACCAACCTTTCTTGTTGAAAAAGTCTCTGGAATATTTGCCAGAAAGAGCAATATGCCTTGGAATCTTCCCAAGAAGTTCAATGACATGAGCTAGATGATCTGTGAAAGAACAACAAAACAGTCCATCAATTTATCATACTAATTTATAAATATACTATTCATGTATTAATTGACTACTATGTTTACCGTGAAGGTAAGACAATGAGTAACAATAATACCTTCATCTCTTGAATAATCTTCTCCAGAGTGGGGCTCGAAAAGAAAATCCCCAGTAGCCAGTTCAAATGCCTACAATACAAAACAAAAACATGGAAAAGTCTGCATATGAGCCAAGTAGCCATCAGGCCGGCACTTATCTCCAGTTTCAGTAGCATGAAGCAACTGGAGTATTTCCACTCCTCCCTGGATGGGGTGCTAGTCCATCACAGGGCTAACGCAGCATTAAATGTGCCAGTACCTATCTATACAACTGAGTGGAGAGAGGCACTGTGAGAGAAAGGTGTGTTGCCCAAGAACACAACACAATGACCCTGCCCAGGGTTCAAACACAGACCGTTTGATTTCTGGTTCAGTGCACTAACCGTGAGGCGACTGTACCTGCACACACACAACACCGTACTATGAGTTAATGTGCCATTTTTTCTTAAGTTTGTCACCCTCCATGTATCACACACACATGCAGGGCATGTAAAGGGGAAGCTGTTAGATAATTGTAGCACCTATCATTTACTATAGGCCTATGACAATAGGTTTACCATAATTAAAAAGACACAGATTGTACTCTAACGTTAGCAGATCACTGTTTCTCACCATACAGGCTGTACTCCACATATCAGCTGGCGGACCATAACCTGCTCCAATTAAAACTTCAAGGCTGCGATACTGTCTTGTTTGAATCTCTTCTGTAAAGTGATGATGCTGACAAAAGGTCAAATGACAAACAGTAAAAAAACTTATCAAAAATAACGTAATGGTCTGTACAAATTCAACTAATAACTGACAATTAATTTTTAAACTGAATTAATTTGACAGTGTACATTCTATATAAGTCTATATCTTCCTGCTGTTCTGGATCAAGATTTAATTTTGGTTTGAAAACTTG